ATAAAAGAATTCATAATTAGCATAATTGTAAAAAAAATTTGGCTGTTTTAAATATTAGTTAAGACTTTTCATGTCTGTTATATAATATTTATAATATTATTATCCCGATAACTTCCAATTTAAAAGTGTTTAGTTAAATGTATATTATTCAACTAATGTGGGAAATATTTCTCATTTGCTTCAACGCTTATTTTTCTTAAAAGACGAATGTTGTCACCTATTGGGTTATAGCACCTATTAACCTAACTTTAATAATACCTACTAACTGACGTGAGACCGATCTTAAATTAAATTATAATGATCCATGTACACTTTTTATTATTAGGTATAAATTTTTTTTTTCATGTGTCCTTTATTAGTTTGTTTTTTTTTGTCCCTGTTTAGTTTCTTTTTCTCAACAACTATATGTAAATTACATTACATGTATTTTTGCACTTCTTGCCTACCTTGTGTAATTTCATCCTTTTTTTTCTCACAGTGGTTGCCTGGAAGAGATCGCTCGAAAGCGATTAGGCCGCCAGTTCCTCTCCTTTTTATTTAATTATGTCAATTGAACTATATTTATGTATATGCAACGAAGTGTAATAATAAACAATAAATAAATCACCCAGAATCATCAATTAATGAATAAATATCCTAATTTATTTATTTATAAGAGGTGAAATTAGTTATTTATAAAAGAACACGAAATTAAAATAAAAGCTTAGGGCAATCATCCTGATTCTTAAATATCTTAAATGCAACGAATATACATATAATTACTTTTCTACGATTCTCCAATAACAACACCTTAAAGTGCGATAGCCTGGTTTCGTATGTTGGCACGTCTCTTTTCGAGATGCCAATGGAGAAAAGCAGATGCCACAGTAATATTTTTGTAAGCACTCGTGTCGCAACATATGCGTCGCCTCCAAACAACTGTACCGAGACTAATTAAAGTAATTTTTGTTTCAGCTTTCTTTATTGTAATGTTCTGGTGTTCTGTAATCGTCAAAAACAACCTCTAAATCACGAAATACTCCTTCTTCTTGAACTATTATGTTACCTATATGTTAGTTGTGAATTGTATGTCTCTTTTTTTACAAAAACGAACGCAACGTCATTTTCGGACTTCAGCGCCATACCATTGGAAATACACAGTAGACCTCAATTACCAAATTTAATATCCGAAATTTAATATAAATTAAATGTTAACGTTAAATTGTAACAACCACAGTTCACTGAAAGTTCTATTTAATACAACTCAAAAAGTAAAAGGAATAACGTGCGACTTTTTATATTTACTTCCAATTGTCTCTTAAAACGTTTATTAAATTTCTTAACAAAAAGTTAAATAAACATTAAATAATGAACTAACAAAAACCTGTCGTCAACAATACTCATAATATACTTGCTTACAAATTGATAAGAATATGTTATAAAACGCAAAAAGTTACATTATTCGCGAGTGTTAGTGACATGTGGTTGGTAATACTCGTACTAGAGTAAATTGTGCGTGCGACCGCGACATGGCGAAAATAAATACGATAGCCTTCGAGGAGGCTTTGTACATGACAGGTGCGTATAATTAAGAGAAATATTAATTTGTATGTATTTATAAATTAAGACATATATTAGTATCCTACACGACAGAGGTGTCATCGTGGACAGACTCCAGACCGCAACTACTAATAGGCGAATAGTTTCGGAAATGGGGCTTCCAAATAAATCCCGAGAAAAGCGTCGCAGTTCTCTTTGCCAGGAGCAACCCCGATGCTCTCGCTCATTCTCGGGAAAAATTCCGCCTCAAAAAAGAGGTAACCCTATACGGACAAGCCTTCCCTTGGCAAAACTCCTTCAAATATTTAGGAGTCACGCTCGATAGCGGCATGTCTTTCCGTAAGCATATAGCCGCCGTACGCAAGAAGGCATCTTTTGATCTCTCTCGCCTCCATTTCCTCCTAAATAAAAGGAGTCACATGTCCCATAGACACAAGGTGACACTGTACAAGGCCTGCATCCGACCAAAAACGCCCATTCAGGCCGAGCTACGCTCGCCAAAACAGCCCAACCTTAACTGTAAAGGTACTTAAGGCCAAGATTCCATTAAAAAAAAGTATCCTACAATTTAATAATTACGTAAATACCCTTTGATGATATTGTTTTATTCCATTAAAACAATTTCTAATTAGAACTACGATTTTTTAACATTTTATTGTCATTAACATATCTTGAATTATTAGTAACTAAAATTAATTACCATTACATTGTTTACTTGTGTTTTTTTTTATTATTATTTGTATCATATCTTAATGTTTATTAATCACAAAAAACACTAATATAATTTTATTAACTAATTTTTTTAATTAAAAAATTAAATACTCAAGGTTTTTAAAATATTTATTAACAGCAATCAATCATAGCTGACAATCTATTTTTACTATGCTAACATTTAGATTATGAACGAATCAATGTCACGGCTAAATGTTACCTGGGATGTGTTAGTATTTCAATGTAATTATAATATATAAATTACTCGCTTCTCAAGTCATTTATAATTAAATATAATCTATATTTACCCATTAAAGCTTTATCTGCTACAGAATTACTCTTTCATATGTTCACATAATTAAATAAGAGACTAAGGAGTAATACTAATTTATTTACAAAAACTTCTAATGTTTAAATTTTTTTTCTCTGACGACACTTTTGTAACGGCGTATATTATTATTCGTTTACAATATATACTTTATACACATATACACCATACCCATAACTGTCTATTGTCAATCGGCTGTGTTTAGCACTGTATTGTGAGGGTTCAATTTCTCTCAATTCCTAAAAAAATACATAAACTTGCCTGCAATGTATAGGACAAATCAGGAGAGTCTTATATTCGTAAAATTATGATAATGTTCTAATACAGAGACATGAAAAACATTGTCATAGGTATAGAGACGATGATAAAATTCAAATTTATTTTATCTTTACGGAGTAATTCGTGATATCGTATCTTGGAAAGATCTTTAGAAGAATAATAACTAAGACAAACTGTTGAAAAAAGCCTGACATTTTGGTGTTTACGGTTTGTAGATAAATCTTTAGCAATAGCAAACTAACTTCATTCATTGTATTATAATATTAACGTCACAACGTTTACAAATCCACATAAATACCTTTAGTTTCTAGATTTATTCTTTGTCAATTATGTTTAATAGATAAATTGTAAAATATATTCGTGCATCGTTTATTTTCTGACCTTTTATAATTAAATATAACTTTAGATCTATATTATTAAAAGGAGTCCCTTTTGGCAAGGTTCCGAAGATACTGGCAGCGTTTCCCCTTTGAATAGCTAGACTAATTCTTTGTTCGAGGTAGCTGCCAGATCTTCGGTCTTCTGTGATGCCGAGTAACCTTTTTGATATTTCTTTAAAAAGCCTTAAAGCGCTAGGACCCCACGGACCAAGGGATCTCGACACCGAATGGGACAAAATCATATTCTGGCCGTGATGTCCTAACTTGTTGACATCACTGCAACAGGGACATATATGAGGAGCGCAGACCGGAACCCCAAGCCGTAGACAGGTTGCCATTCGAAGCGTGTCAGACTCAAGAAAAGTTCTTGTATTTGAAGAAGGGTAAGCGTGAAGCCAGTAGCCGGCCTCATGCGTACCTACGGCCAAAAGCCTAGCATGCGCCGAACCTGTACTATAACTCAAAAGATCGTCAAAAGTCAGTTTGCAGTTTATGACGTCCCAGCTCCTCTGTGAATTTAGAGACATTGGAAAATTTTGACCTGGGCATGCAATTAAGAAAGCGTTTCTAGCTTCTTCCAAGCCAGCAATCTCAAAGTTTGAAGGGGATGCCCTTAAAATTTTACTTATGAGATTTGCTGAATTATGGACTGAAGATAGAAAGGCTGGTAAAGCGACACTGGAATTTTGCGAATCCCTAAACCAACGAATGGTGAAGCTTGGGTCCAAGATTGCTCGTTCAGCTGCTTATTAAGAAGTGATTGTAAGCTAATTTTGATTAAGTCGTCTACTTGTGTCAAAAGATCTGGGTGATTTGATTGTGTCAAAAGGAGCAGCAACGGAGCACATACGTAAATTTTGGGAGGGAAAGACAGAATTTTAAGATGCAAAGTGCATAATGTGCAAATTCCTGTTAAGTATTGTAATATTTGGAGCCAAAATATGTTTCTATTTTTTCCAACATTAAATTTAAGTCGCAGTTATTTATGAAAAGTTCGCATTTGCTAAAATTAAGCTTCAAATTTATTTTTGATTAAAAAAAGGTCCGAAAACACAGTATCTACATCACCTCCTAGGGTTCCGTCGTCCAAATACCAAACATTAAAATTAGAATTTAAATTTTTGATTATCGGATTTATAGCCAAACTAAAAATTGCACCCCCAAAGGGATCACCCTGTTGACAGTTCATTAGAACGATATAACAATTTAGTTGGATCAGTGAAACTGAGAAGAAGATAATAATTGTATATTTCCGGTATATGGTGTTTTATTTCAGTCAGCAGGGTATCCCTATTTACCGAATTAAATGCATTTTTGACATCAATTTTGAGCAACACGTCTGGCTGTCCGTAAGTTAGGAAAGAGCGTAGGGCATGGATGGCTGCCTTATTTCACACCCTCCTTTTACACCGAAGAACTAACTCACTATATACAACTAACTTCTAATCTAAACTTAAAGAAATGTACATTTCCAGGTCTCGGCAAGTTTAATCTGCTGATGTTCTTACTGAGCATATTGGTGGTGACGGGGATGACTTTCGAGGTGTTTTCAGTGTCATTTCTGGTGCCGGCTAGTGCCTGCGAGCTTAACACCACCGTGTTTCAGCAAGGCTTGATAGCTGGGATGCCTTTGATTGGTTGGTATTATGCTATTCCAGTTGTTATCTCGTTCCTCTCAAATCAAATCAAAATCATTTATCCATATAGGTAACACAATGTACACTTATGAACGTCAGAAAAGAAATACATATTGAATGCTTCCAATTTTACATTAACTGCCAGTTCTCAAACCAAGGGCATAGAACGGAAGAGAAGAATTGGAAATAAACTCTCCGCCACTCTTATTAATCGGCAATTTTTTTTTGTTTTACACAATGTTTGTAAGGAGCTGCAACTATTACACCATGTTTCACATGACATCTTAAGTAGAGTTTTCTTTATTGGCAAGGATGTCATCAGACTTCGGTCGACATACACACCCTATTACGCACTAATTGCGCACATAGCAAAGAAATATTTTTTTGCATAGCGAGATGTATGCCGTCGTATTCTATTTCTTACATATTATTTTTCTATTTATAAACCGAATTTCCTCTTCTGACCACAATATAATATATAAAAACCAGTATTAAGTAAGGGCAAATGCGGAAATAGTAACAACTAATTTGCACTAGTTTATTTGAACAACAAAAATCTTATCAAATAACAAATGCTACAATAAATCTTATTACGTAAGTACATTTTATGTAAAGATAAGGATGTCATCCGACGCAAATTAGTTTGTTTAAATTGAGATTGGCAAGTTAAACACATTTTTTTCTAACCCTATACCGGCCACTATGCAGATATTACGGTAGTAATCCAACCGAACCGTACCTACATGAGATGTTCAGTATTAAATGCTTTTCAGGTATAATTGCAACTTCTCACATATGGGGCTATTTAGCTGATACAAAAGGTCGGCGGAAGACTCTACTCTGGTCTATGGTATTTGGATTCTGCGCAGGATTTCTTGCTACTTTCTCAATGAATTGGATCGTTCTGGCTGTTCTTAAATTTATTTCATCGGCGGGGTATGTTATATTTCAAATATTATGTGAAACCTCTTTATCATCTAAATTATCTCTAACATAGGCTATAGAATATATATTATAAAAGAAATTACAATCTATGCGAGGCTGAGACAGACTACTAGTAAATCATTATTATTTACTAGATTAAGTTTGTAATGAAGCCGGCGTACTCCGATCTAACATTAATTTCATGTAAGACAACATGACAACATGTATTTAAATTTATTATATTAATTATTACCACACTTATGCTTGTACAACTGGATATTAACATAATATTGAATTTTAATAAATACTAAGATGTTATCTTCATAAATTGCGCAATACTATCGGAAATAATAAAAATGATAAAGTGGCTCTATAACCCTAAATGGGTTTTGGCCTCAGATTTCATGCGATTCTTCTATAATTCTTTTATGTATTTATTAATAATCTTACAGCTAACATACATAATATAAAACAAAACACTTAGACAATATAGAAAGCCAAAACAAATGTTATCTGACACATGTCGCTGATTTTTGGTTTCACCGTACCAGCGAGTTTTAGATGCGTATAGACGGAAAGTCCATTGGTACACAGCCGGGGTCGGATGGATGGATCTTTATGGATGAAAGTCGCACGCTGAAGCCACTAGGCCAACATTGCGTTTTTTTTAAAACATATTTATTTTCAGACTAGCTGGTTGTTACCCTTTAGTAATAACGTTGCTGGGAGAAACAACACCACAGAACAAGAGGTCGATCATTATAGCGTTCCTTAACACGCAGTTATTTTTGGGATCAGGAATTATGGCTCGTAAGTTTAAACACATAAGATTGTGCGAATGGGTTATAATATAGACTATGAATACTTTATTTAATTAGTAAAAGTAGCTGTAAATGCGTATTTCATAGAATTATTTAATTATGTTTCCTAGTAATTACTATTAGTATTATAGATATAGGAATCGACCGTTCGTCAGATGCATGTGCCGAAATGTCGTAATGACAATATAAACATTTCTTTTCAGTTTTGTCGATACCAGTTTTGCGGTTGAATTTCTCTTACTATGTCCCCTTTTTGGCAATATCCATGGAGTCTTGGAGGCTTTTGAACTTTATCTTCTGTTTACCGTGTGTTGTCAGTGCAATAAGCATCTTTTTCATTTATGAAAGCCCTAGATACCTGCTTAAGGAGGGAAAAGACGATGAGGCTCTTAACGTACTGAGAGCTATATTTGTGATCAACACTGGAAAGAGCCAGGACGAGTATGAAGTAAGCCGTTTATTTAATTATATGCCACATACCCGTATGTTATCCGTAGACTAGCACTAGAAACTAAAGGCAACTTTATCGATATATAATAAATGCTATTCATATTGTGCGAAGAATCCTAAAATGCGCGCGGGCCGTCAAATTTGCTCTGAACATTCTTAATAAGTGAAAAACTGAAATATGATTTTTCTGATTTGAACATGATTCGTAACTTTAAAATAACATTTTAGGTCCAATCCGTGATATTGAATGAAGATAGGGTCCAGTCAAAATGTGACAGTTTGTGGGCTTCTTTCGCTTCCCAAACGATTCCAATGTTTAAACCGCCTCTACTGAGAAGTACATTGCTTCTTTCAACGTTATTTGTTATAGCTTATGTTGGGTAAGTTTCCTGCTTGTCTATCTAAAGTAAATTATGTTTCTAGATTCAACC